GCGGTGCCTGCCACCACAGGGGATGAGCTATCTGGGTTCTAGGGCAGGGGCATCTGAGGCAGTGCTCTGCACCACCAGCAAGCTGAGCTCTGTGCTGTTGCCAGCAGGACCTAGCCAGAGATGCCTTCCCCTCCAGTTAGGGAGGGGGTGGGCAGGCTCTTCAGAGGTGGCAGGGAGCTGCATGGGCTGGCCAGTGGCACCAGGGGCAGTGCCTGTGCTTGCAGGGGCAGGGTAGCTGGGAGATGCCGCCCAGGGGTATCATGCTTACCCAAAATAATTTGGTATCATCTGCAAACTTGGAGATTTCACCCCAATTGGGGTTTGTACACCCCAATTTCCAGGTCATTGATGAAAATGTTGAACAAAATTGGACTTACCACAGATCCCTGCAGGACCCAACTTCTGATTTCCCTCCATCCTGAAATGACCGTTTAGCCCTACCCTTTGCTTCCTATCTTTTAATCAGCTCTCAGTCCACAAAGGAACCATCCCTCCAATCCCATTATCATGCAGAATAAAGCAGTCCCAAGAGGGGCCCAATGTGATAGGTATTCTCTGAATATGCCTAACAGAGCCTGTGACAAGCTCAAGCCCTTCACAAAAATGTAGTCGTCATTGCTATTTTATTATTGAGCTGTGGACAGAGGAGGTAGTGGTGGTGATGGTACCACTGCCAAACTTTTATATAGCAGCCTGATCATTAGACCATTAATTCTGCAAGATTCATGTGACCAGGACCATGTAGCTAAGGAGTCAAGAAACTACACTGGGTTAGAGCAGTTCTGAGTGTCGGTCTCTGCCTCCAGCACTACGGAAGCAATTTTACATTCAATATAAATTGAATAAAAAAATTAAAAGGGAAATGACTTGGTCAGCAGGGACTTGAGCCTGAGACTCCTTACCCATTACAGTCCCATTCCTTCTTATGTTCTTTCCTGGCTAGTGAATCTTGCATTCCATTCTCCACAGCAGTGCAGCTTCAACAGGAGAGGTGGAGAGTGCTCAGCCTAGCCTAGCCTGTAAATGCTTAGGGGTGGTTGGGCAGGCAAGGTTCTTTGGGTAAATTCTATATCTTTTATTTAGACCAACTAAAACAGTTGCAAAAATTCTTTTTTGCAAGCTTTTGGGTACAAACACCCTTCTTCAGGCAGAGGAAGCATCTGCAGTTGTTTTGTGCTCTTCCTGGATGGGATAGAAGTCAGACGCCAGTATGTAAGAATGCCAGTCAGTAAAAATGCAAATATGTGGCAGATAATGGGTGAGAAACAGGTTGCGGGGGAAGGGAAATGGTGACCTGGTGATAAAATGTAGCTGGTAAATTGTAGAGAGGTTACCTGGATTATCAGATGTTAGGCAGGTTATAATGTGCCGTAAATCCAATGTCTATATTTAGTCCATGATTTTTTGTATCCAGGAGGTTGATGAAGTGTGAAGTTCATAGGCTCATCTGCAAAAGGTGTTTTGTAAATTCCCTTTGAGGACTAGAACTTAGAGAATGGAGAGAGAGTGGTTGTCTTCTGAGAAATGTGTCCCCACAGGTAATTGGATGTTTTTATGGGTGGTTAGAATAGTTTCTTGAGAGGCAGGAGATACGCAGTTTGAATCCTCTTAGGCTGAAGACGTTACTGGACCGAGGTCTCCCACTGCCTGAGTGGATGCTCTAATACTAGGCTATTACATAAAAGGTGAGTTTCACCCCTACCTACAGTATGTTTTTTAAAAGAAAATAATGAGGACTTCTCAGTTATTTAAAAGAACCGCTGTAAGCAGCAACCCTCAGAAAAGGGCTCTGACAAGCCACCTTCTTCCTCCCCCCACACTAGAAGATGAAGAAGGCAGATTAGGCCAGCTAGGGACTTTAAATGTCATCTCTCACAACCCAGGTAAGTGCCTCACTGCTAGGCACTTATTTCTTCTGGCTATTCTGGGGTAGCATTCTCTCTCTCTCTCTCTCTCTCTCTCTCTCTCTCTCTCTCTCTCTCTCTGGTTTTCACTTAAAAACATGGAAGGGTATCTTCTCTGGAATGCAGCAAAAAAAAATTGAAATCTGGAAACATTTTTGAAAAATGGGAAAGCCACTTTTTGTGCAGCTTTACTTGACATACAGTGAATTCAGAGTTGATCAGGCTTTCTCTTTTTTCTTTGTCATATACTATGAATGGAATAATTCTTTACCTACCTTCTTTGTGTGTTTTTGAAAATCACAGTCAAGCAGTAACATTCGAAAATCTACTCTCTTGTTCCATGTTTTTCAGACTGCTTTTGGGGGATCAAACTTTTTGCTGTGTCCCATAGGACCACAGTAATACACTGGTGCTCCTGAAAAAACAAAACTAAATAAGGATGGCATTAGCCCACATAGGAAAAGGTAGCAGTATGTATTTTGCAAATGCATTTTGTCAAATCCTTATCTTCCTACTTGTGTCATTTGCCAAAACTGTCAGAAGAAGTGATACACATTTTAAAAAGAAGAATGTGCTGCTTATGTGAGGAGGGAACGTTATGAAGGTTTGAAGAACATGGCTACATATTTGTACAACACCAAACACAATGGGGCCATGGTCCACAACTAGGTCTTCAAGCTGCTACTAACACACAGGTGCCAGTAATACTAATTTATGGATGCTGAGGCTCTCAAACGGTATCAGATTGATTGATCGATTGGTTTGCCATCCTTCCTCTGGCCCTGCCCAATTCCATTTGCTCATTGTCAATGGGCTTGATTTTCTTTCCCACATTGTTTCACATCAGGAGGATGCCATTGACTTCAGCAACCTTGGTCTCTATTGCTCTCTGTCTTAAGATTGTAACTGAATCAGAAAAAAAGTTAAGCTGGCTACCAAAGGAACCTGTTACATAAACGGATCTCCTAGTAACAGTAGAATTATCCATTATGGCCTATCCTAACAATCAATGAAGTCATTAGAATTCTGCAGGTTTCCATGGGTTGACACTGGACATTGTTCCAGTAAGCTCTGCTTGAAAAAGGCTAAAGATCTTGTAAGACCAGATATTAAGAACATAACTTGTTTGTGTTCTTTGTGTCAGCTTCAAAAATGCGCCAGAAGGCTTTGGGGAAAGGAGAGGGAAGTCCTGAGCTCACTGAATTGGACAATGAAGAGGCAGAAATAAGCAACACATTACAGTGTCTTGAAAACAAAGATCAGGTATAAACATTTTCTATGCAGTGCAACAATAGGTCTTACATGAATCAACTTCTCTTTAATAAACTAATTTCTCTCTTTACCTGTCCCCTATGATTCATTCTTCCCTCATCTATTAATTCCATATGATTTAGTCTCTTTCCATCTCAGCGTTCCCTTAAGTTTGATCACTTTCCTTCCGAACTATCCCATTAATCAAAATAATGGGAGTCATTTTGTTTTAATACACAGCATTTGTTATATCAGAAGCTAGTAAATCCTTGCTTTCTCACATCTGCCCATTTCACCTTTCTTTTTCCTATTCTCCTTGCAGTTGTCTCTGGAGCACCAGTTTCACACTTGGATAACTCTGGAGAGAAAAATCAATGCTGTCACCCATCTGAAAAATGACCTAGCCCAGAGGCTGATTGATATCACTTCCAACAATCTCATCCAGGTAAATGCATATGATAAAGAGGAGGAAAAAATACTTTAAATCTGGAACACCATATTTGAATCTAAGCTTCATGCTTTCTCTCTAGGTAACAACACCATGTCAAAAAACAAAAGAATAGTTGTTTGTATTGTTGGGATGTCATTTAACATGCACATGTGCTTACATGACTTGAAAATGTATCAGATTCATGACCTAAGCATATTCAGACCTGAGCAGTAACTAAAAGAAATGATTCCAAATCTCTGACTCTCTCCAAAATTCTAATGCTTGTCTTATTTTCCAATAGGAGTTGGAATGGTAATTCATCTGTTGAGAATAATTTTTCATCTGTAATTTTGAGTGTATCTAATGTCACCTGAATTTCTTTGTTCTGATGCAGGAGCTGGATGAGGAACTGGAGAAAGCTGCCATTGGCGTTTTGGTGGCCACTGCAAAGCACTGCCCAGAAATTGTCTTGGCTAAGCTACAGGAGAGGATCCAACCAAAAGCTCTGCCCCACCACAGCATCCTCTGTGCTATGGTGAAACTTTGCCAACTCAAAGGTACCATCTCCCTCTATTTCCTGCACTGTAGATTTCTTTTAAGCTTAGCAAGTATTTGATGTCATTTTCTGTAGAATTGGTTTGACCCTGTTAAATAGGTATGAGCTGAGATTTTCCTTTGTGCCCTTCTGATCCCCACACTTTTGGCTGGTCTGATTGAATTTTTTCAGTTTTTCAATGGAAAATGGGAGGAAGGGTTGCTTTTGCAAAAGTGTTCTCCGTGGAAAATTTCAGGTTTTTTCATCAAAATATTTCAGCCAAAAACTGTTCTGGAATGGGGTTCTTGGCCAAAACTTAGAATTGTAATACCTCATGTTAGTTGTAGTTTGTTCCTCATATCCTCGTTCTCCATCACACTCATATTCACACTCATATTCTCACACAGCATCTCTGTGTTGTGAGGCTGGGTAGAAAAAGTAATCTTTTCCTTCAGCTGATCTCCCTTTGTTCTGTACTGTGGCTGTCAGAATTGGTCCCTGTGGAACAGAAAGCAACTAGTCAGCTAGAAACAAAGCTGAGTGCATTTTCCTTTCCTCTGTTCCAGCCATGGCTCCTTATATTGGTGCAATGTGGGACTGTGTCCTGCCAGTCTTGCCTTTGGTCCAGTCAAAGAAATATGTTCTGCTGTTCTGTGATGGTGAGCATTTCATGATTCCTCATATTTAGTTTTGCTGGCATATTTTCATTCACAAGCCTGACTCTCACTTCCGACAGATGTTATCCTTGAGTAAAAGGAATGCTGTTCTAGTTAGCTCTTCCCTTACCAAGTGATACCCAACTGACTCCTGATTAGATTCAGAGATGTAGAGAAAAGTGGCTAGGTGTCGTTGGGATTTTACAGAACATGCACACATGATCAGAAAATACATGATCCTGCTTTTCAGGCAAAAGAAGGTAATTTGGGTTCAACTTTAGGACCCTGTGACAGAGGGCTGCCTTGAGGCCGGTCATGACATTGGCCTGCCCAACTGTCCAGGGCATTTTGCTCTGCCTTGCCTGCCGGCAGGCACCTTTAATGTTTCCAAAACATTGTGTTTATATGTAGGAGGCTGCCCTAACTGTGGCTCTGGTGTACTGGGCCAAATACATGGCTTTGAGCCTTCCCTACATTGTTCCCCATGCCTAGCAGATGGCATTTAAACTGTTGACAGCTCCAGCCCCTTGCTGGGCCGAACTCTGCCCCTTACTGGACCGCTAACATTCTGCCCTTTGCCAGGCCTCAATCACTCTGCCCACTCCTGGGCTTCACCCATTCCACCCTACTTTGTGCAGCCCTTCAGGACCCATCCTGACCCAGTCCTTTGGGTTTCATCATTCACACACTCTGGCCTGCCTACATGCAGTCCTTCAGGCCACCCACAGGCCCTACTTTACGTGGCCTCCAGATTTCTGCCCCACACCAGGCCGAACTCAGCCTCTAGCCCCTTTCTGGGCCACTACTCTGCCCCTCACTGGGTTCCTGGGTCTTATGCCCCTTGGACCTCAGGCCCCACTCAGTGGGCTTTAGCCCCTGTCTCAGGCCCCACTCTATGGGCCTGGACCCTATGCTTTTCTGTCGGGGTGTGCTCCACTAGACTTTCCCCTCCATGGCGTACCCACAAGTCAATGGGGACTTAGGCTTTCCAGCACCCCATCCTCACCTTTCGCTAGGGAGGTACAGCTGTAGCTTTTCCTGGAGACTGCCCCACCTTAGGCAGCCCTACCACACCATCCAACCCCAGCAGGGTGTAGTTTCAGGTCTTACCCAGGACCCATAGGAACCTCCTCCATCCCCATAGTTCCTGCCCTGACCTCCAGGTGTTTTGGGAGCTGCTGTCCTCAGGCTGTGCGACATTGCTTCACTGGCTGCCTAGATGTAACTGCTGGCTCAGCTTCTAGGGCCTGCGCTTATACCCTGGTCTCCTAGCCCTCCTCCAATCCGGGGAGGGGGAGGAGGTCCACTTGCAGTCATGTGACCACCTAATTGGGCCTAACTACACCTGCCACCAGCTCCACAGCCTGCTTTCACCCCTTAAAGTAGCAGGCACCAAAGATGCTCTGCCACAGACCCTTTTTCACATTGGTTCAACCTGCTGAAGCTACAGAGGCTGCTTTCCAGAGTAGGTGCCTTTCCACTAAAGGTACCTAAAATGAGGTTCTTACTGATTCAGTTTTGTTTTGTAATCTGTATGTTAACTTTCCACACAAAGCAGGTGGAATGCTCCATTGTTTTCCCTTCATTTTCTAATTCCTTTGAGATTAAAGCTCAACACAGCATGTGAAGTCCTAGATCAGTGACACACATACAAAGCTGGGTATTAGTTCTCAGAGTTGCCAGGTATTTTTTCTCTGTGGTGCCTCATGACTGTGCCCCATTTCTTGTCTGTGATCAGTTTATATCTCTCTCTTATATATAGATATACATATAAATATATATGTATATATGTATCTGAGATCCCAGGCAGAGATTAGAGGGAGTAGCTAGGGATTCTTCAGAGACTTTTATCTGACCAAAGAGAATTTATATAAAATATGTTTTTTGTTTCTAAAATGATACTGATTATTATTAGCTGTGGAATAACATCAAATTCTTTGGTTCTCTATGTAGTATTAAGACACCTGGCCAGTTCTGTCTCCAGGTACTTAGCAGAGCCACCACAGGAAGTTGGGGAGCTGGACATTACTAGAGACACTGCAGCTGCCCAAGCCCATGTGACATTTCTAGTGCTCTTCAACAATTGGTTTCCAAGTGCCCAGAGAAAGGTGAGTGGAGAAAATCATGGGCAGCAAGAGCCCTTTAGTAGAATTTGGATCTGAAAGGTGTCTGATGCTAGCCCTACAGAAAAAAACCCCCTCTATTTATCTATAGCACAGAGGAAGCACAGTTACACCATGACTGATACCAGGTGTCAGGGCCTGCTTCCTTTTTCTGTCCCCTTCACTCTCTGTCTCTCTCTCTTTCTGAAAACATGCCTTTCTATTGATGTGGGCCACTTGGGCTAAACATCAGCCATGTCACTCAGCCCACAGGGCTTTGCACAGGTCTAGAAAGTTGATGATGGGAGCAGTGGCTGTGTTAATTTCCACAACTCTGGAAGCTCTGGATAGTGTCAGCATGCAGGGTCATACCATGGTCAGATTGGGCATGCGGGGCTGGGCTGGCCTTTAAAATTGCACCCATGCCGAGGCCGCGGAACAGCATGGGCCACCTGGGCCATGGCCCAACCAATGTTTAGCACAGCGATTCTTAGCATGAACAGGGCCTGGCCCACTGGCTTCAGGGGGCTGTCACTCTTCTGTCCTGGCAGGGCTGCAGGTGGCAGAGCATAGCTGCCACTGCACAAGGGAGGGAGGGAGGGAGGCAGGAAGGCAGGGAGCAGAGCTGTGTTTGAATCACCACGCTAGACGTTGGTCGGGCCATGGCCCAGGTGGCCCACCCCGTTCCATGGCCTCTGCACCCATGGGCTGACTCTACCCACAAACCAAACCCATCTGTGGGACCTAGCTTGTAGGCTGGCCCTCTGCCACTCATCTGGACCTGATCTAGAAGAATGCACCATAAGAGAAGAAAGCAGCATGTGAAGTGAGGCAGGCTAGGACAAGACACTTTTCTGGCACTGATGACTTACTCCTGGCCTGTAAGAATTGATCTTTCCCTTTTTTAGAAGAATAAATTACATTTCTAGATTTTCAAGTTGTGAAGCAAAATTTCCATTTAGGATCCAGTGTAGGTGATAGAGTTCATGTGATGGCAAGCAGCTTAAAAAACTACTTCTGAAAGGTTTTCACTATCCTTTTTTCCTTACTGAGGCATTATTTCTGCAGCCTATCCTGACATTTCAAATGTCAGTCTTGTTAATTTAATTAAGTTTAATTTCATGGCTCATTGTTCTAGCAGAAGCATCTAAATACCATCATCAAGTATAATCAGACTATAAGCAATACAAGCCTATAATTAACACTGATGAACACTTTCTCTTATAAGAGAAAGTTTTAGTTGCTTAGAACTTTGCCCAACTTTAAGTATTTGGTTATGTCAGTTATCTGCCTCAGGGTGATTTTTTTCTACTGTTATTAATATTTCAGCAAAAAATCACTTCATATACTTCCTAAACCAAATTTAGAGAAAAATATGCCATTTGTCCATGTCCACTAGTATAAGTGTTTCATTGAGAACTCTAAAGGCTCTCTGATGTGGAGCAGAGATTTGATCTGATGTTAGGTACTTATTCCGGTGAATTTCATTTAAAGTTGACTAAGTTTCCCTATGAAAATCTCAGCTTGCTCACGCTCAGTAGAGACTTGTTAGCGTTTGGCAACTAACTTTCTGGGAAATTCTGTCCTTCCTGGGCATGTCTACATACGCACCCCACTGCACAGTTGGTACTGCACAGTCATTTAGTACTTGCTTTAGCTTGCTTTAGCAAGTACTAAATGACTGCTCAGTACCCACCGGTACTGCACAGTCCCGGCAGCACATAGGTTGTTTCTGACCTTACTTTACAGTAGCGGCAATGTCATGGTTAGTGCCCATCTCATATAAACATGTCCCCTGAGCATGCCCCATCCTGAGAGGACTTCGTATGTTCCATCCCTCACAGAGTGACTAAGTGTGCTCCAGCTCAGCAGTGCAGGTACAGGGGTTGAGCAAGACTTGTATGGCTTGTATGTTTTGTGTGGGTTACACATGTATATGTGTGCGCACATGTGTGTATGGTTGCATATGCATGTCTGCATGCACTGAGAGGATGCCCTCCTGGACTGTGGAGGCATGTGTGTCATTCTTCATCCATCTAGGGGGCAGACAGAAGTGCAGCTCCCAGCTATAACTTGGAACAATTTCTGCAAAGCGTTCTGAGTTATAATGTTACACCAAACCAAACAGAAGTACCTCCGTCCCACCCTCTGTGGGGGCTGAAGAAACCCCAGAGTGAACTCCTTCCACTGCTTCCATTCTGAAAACAGAGATGGGCTGGGAGCTCTGCAGACACAAGTTATAAAAAAATGCTACATTTTTAAATGACTTTATCTGATACCTCATGCAATGAGGGGTGAGAGTTTCACCCAATCGGCCATTCCTTCAGGCAGCCAGGAGAAGCTGGAACTAAGCATGGACCTGGCCTCTCATGCACTCTGTATTCTCCCCTTGCTAGTACAAACATAGTGTGGAGGAGAAGGATGAAGAGGCCTGACTTGGAAGCATGGGAATGAGGGGACTGGCCTGGAAGATACTGAATTGGTGTGGCTGCAAATACCATTGAGAACACAAAAATAATGCTAAGTGACCTAAAGAAGTTAATATATGGGCAGAAAATAACAAAATCAACACTTGGTTAAGAAAAATACAAGCTAACATGCATTGAGGGGGGAGGGAAATATGCTGAAATGTAATGAAAGAGTAATGTCATAATAAGTACAAATTAGGAATGAATTGAAAATGCCAGGGTCCAGCAGTAAGCCAATGTGACTTGGCATTGGATACAGAATCATCACATCATAGGCCTAGGAAGTGATAGGACTTCTCCATTAGGTTAATAATTCTATAGCAACAGACGTGTCTGGGTACATCACAGTGTGCAGATCTGTGAACATTTTGTTAGCTATGCTGTATCTCACTAACCACATGTGCATTCATTTCCTGTCTCCCTAAGCAGGTGATGGAAGCCACACTGAATGCAATTACCCCACTGTTTTTTATCATGTCTGTTCAGACATTGAAAAATCATGTCCAGTATTTGATAACAGGGCTCCTGAATCTGTATGAGACTGGACTACCCCATTTTTACATCACAGAGGTGAGGGTTCTCAGGATGTGTCTATGACCAGTGGGCAGAGAAGGTATTAGTTTGGTTCTGTGGCATTGAAGAGCACTGTGCACTGTTTCCAATCTGTGGAGACATCCTGATTCCCAGCCTAAACTATGTATGGATGGACCTGGACTGGGACAACATGATATGCAATAGGGCTGTGCAAAAAGGCACCATTTAGTTTCAACTTGCATTTTGATGGAACAGCATTTCATTTTAATTTTGTTTCAGTTCAAAACCGCTGTTCCATTTTGTTTCGTCAAAAACAGTTTCGCTGTTTCGACACTGTTTCGATGTTTTGCCCATAGGCTATAATGGGGAAGCTCAAAACAGCCTATAACTTTGTCATTTCTTGCCTGATTTGGATGAATCATGCAGGAGTGGTATCCCCTTCTGAGGGCATCAAGCCTGCCAAGTTTCAAGGAGATAGGTGCAGGGGTTTCAGGGAAATTGCACCTCAAAGTCTTGAAAGCAAAAAACTCATGTCACATGTATGTGTTAAGCCACAGTGGGGTCAAAACTGCAGGGATGGTAGCCCCTTCTGAGGCAACAAAGCTTGCCAAGTTTCAAGGAGATAGTTGCATGGGTTTGGGGGAAACTACCTCAAGCTGTGAACAAGCAAAACTTGTGACATGGGTGACACTGTGTGTGTATTAAGGTGCAGGAGGGTGAAAGCTGCAGGCTTGCTAGTCCCTGCTGAGGCCACAAGCCCTGCCAGCTGTCAAGGAGATAGGTGCAGGGGCTTCTGGGATCTGGGGCCCAGCACCTCTGGTTGCTGACGGGCAAAACTCATGACATGGGTGCTTGTGGGACTGTGTCTGTCTTGGGGCACAGGGGGTGAAAACTGCAGGCCTGCTAGGCCCTGCTGCAGCCACGAAGCCTGCCAGCTGTCAAGGAGATAGGTGCAGGGGGAGTCTGGGTTCTGGGACCCTGCACCTCCAGCTGCTGACAGGTAAAACTCGTGACATGAGTGGGTGACACTGTGTGTGTTGAGGTGTACTTTCACTCAACTGACACCCAGGCAGAAAGCAGGGGAGTTCAAACGATGCTGCCTTTTATGCAGTTTTTCAATCTCTCCCCCAGAGCACTGGGATTGGAAGGGACCTCAGGGAAGGATGACAATCACTGGCCAGGTACACAGTCAATAATGAGAGCGCTCCTTCCCACCCTTCCCCCTCCCTCTCCTTACTTTAGTTTCTGTTTCCCTGCAGGCAAACCCAGCTTGAGCTTCGAAACTCAAAATGTTTTGAAAATTTTAAAACGTTTCGACTTGCCTCATTTCATTTCGAGGCTGTTTCAAAGCTGTCTGCTTCATTTCAATTTTGCTGTTTCAAGCTCAAAACGAGTCGAAATAGCATTGAAACAAAACTGTCAGTAAAATTTCACACACTCCTAATATGCAAGCATCTACTCTGGATACATTCAAGAAATGCCTGGATACTCACCTTGCTGGGGTCATCCGACCCCAGCTGACTTCATGCCCTTTGGGCAAGGGGCTGGACCTGACCATCTCATGAGGTCCCTTTCTACCCTAACATCTATGAAATCTATGAAATATCAAGGGTCAGGAATCATAGAATCATAGCAGTAGGGTCAGAAGGGATCTTGTAGATCTTCAAGTCCGACCCCCTGCCTGAGCAGGAGAAAAACTGGGCTCAGAGGACTCCAGCCAGGTAGGCATCAAGCCTCTTCTTAAAAACCCCCAGGGTAGGAGCCAGCACCACTTCCCTTGGAAGTTGGTTCCAGATCCTAGCCACCCTAACTGTGAAGTGGTTCTTACGGATGTCTAATCTAAACCTACTCTCCAGGAACTTGTGGTCGTTATTCCTTGTTATGCCAGGGGGCGCTAAGGGAAACAAGTTCTCTCCCAAACCCTTCTGGTCCCCCTTAGTGAGTTTATAGATGGTCATCAGGTCCCCCCTCAGTCTTCTCTTGTGAAGGCTGAACAGGTTCAGGTCCCGCAGTCTCTCATTGTAGGTTCTGCCCTGTAGTCCCCGGACCATGTGGGTGGCCCTCCTCTGGACCCTCTCAATGTTGTCCACATCCGTCCTGAAGTGGGGCGCACAGAACTGGACATAGTATTCCAGCTGTGGCCTGACCAGTGTCGCATAGAGGGGGAGGATCACCTCCTTGGCCCTACTTGAGA